TCTTTTTACATCTAAAACTATTGAAAAAATTTGGGACTTAATAGAAGCCCCCTCCGAAAATTTTGGATGGTGGGCAGTTTAGAAGCTCCCGGGGGCTTCTATTATGGGAGGGGGTTTAGTCATTTTATCATTTTACTGATTGACACTAAAATAAAATGCATTTGCTACATTAATGCTCATTTCCAATCCATGCTCGCCTCCCATATCTAAACACTATATTACTTTTATTCATTTCATTGCTGTAGAAATTCATTTAATAATACTTGCTTATTTCCGCGCTTCTTATTGCTCTCTGCCCACACTATTACTAAGGAGAGGTATTCAAGGGTGTGGGTGGATGTGTGGGTGTGGGTTAAAAAAACGACACCCACACCCACACGCCCACACCCACACGCCCACACCCGCACCATTTTGTTGCATTCATACATTTATTTAGAAACTTTCACGCCGCGGATTTGATTGATTTTCTATTTCCTAATAAAATTGGGCATCATGAATGGTAAAGATTATTTTTTAGAAAATGTATCGTATTTGTATTACAATGTGGGTTTTCATTGAAACAAAAAATGAATTAGAGAATGATGCACACCGTGCAGGACGTGGTGCGAACTGATTTTTGAGTTTCTGACAATGTTGAAGGCATAGTGCTAGCGTCAGTCGTTGCTTCAGTAATTTCATTTTGTATCCTCTCTGTGTTATTACTGCTGATGGTCAACTTTTCGTCGTATGCTTGTGTGTCTTGAAGAAATGATGTTTCAGTTTCAACTGGCAATTTCCAATCATTAAGTTCTTGTGGTTCTTCTATGTATGGCTTCTCATGATCAGATTCATTATCAGTAGAAAATGCATGAGATGAGGTTGAGTCTTGGTCTGTATCACGTAATTTAATGGATGTCGACTCTTTTTCCACGTTTGAGTTATGTTCCGTTTCCTGCTCGTAAAGGCATGATGCAAGACGCGATGCCTTTTTTGATTGAGCGAAATCCACGTCAATATCATTTAGCTCATTTCTCTGAATATTCCCACCTTCACTCCCAGTCAAATGCTTGACAAGAAGAGAATAGACAACCTCTTTTAGTGGTCCGGCGTAGTAATAGGCACTTTTTGCCACGAGTACATTTTGCTCTTCGATTAGCCAAAGATCTTTTGAAGTAGGATCCAACATAAGTTCATTCAATGCTGCTCGAACCTGAGCAGACGGAATAAGAGAAGATTGAGTTAGATGAAGTAGTATCTTAGCTGTCACATAGCGAGCATTCATCGATTCTGATTTCAGATAGGAAAGCAAGCGGTTCATGACGATCTTCTCATCTCTGATGAAATTAATACGTGTCAAACATTTGTAGCAGGTATTTTGAATATGTGGATCGTCACATAGAGCTTGAATGAACATTTCGCACAATTCCACTGTCAACTCGCCAAAAACCGATAAAATGGTTAGACAAGCAGCACGACGCGGAAACTCATGCTGTTTACTCGTATAAAATAAGGCGCGTCTCAGCTCATCTCCAAAGCCACAGTCTTTTATGTAAGCGCAAAACGCTGCTGGCATTCGTATAGCGAGTGAAGCTCCAACATTTACGTAACGTGGGTAGCCATAATTTAACGTGTAGTTTACAGTTTTGAGATAACTTACATCACTAGTGAAGTGATGAATACTATTGTATAGATCGACCACGAAGATCGATAAAAGATTAGGATTCTCCTCGATGAATGCTGCCGCGACGTCTATCCTCTCTTCCACAACATTGTGTGCTAAGGTATAAGCTGTTGATCCAATGAGTGCATGATAACACTTGACATAATCCGAATCAAGAAGATCAAACAGTAAGGATTTGTTCAGTATACGGCCAAGTCCTATACATGCTGCTTTTTGAACATCCTGCGAAGAATGCTTGAGTAGCTGGCGAAATAGGTCAATACCATCAGGGTCGAGTTCGACTTTGTTCAAAGATAAGCAATGACAATAACTTGAAATAAGCGCACTAATGACACAATTCGAGTAATTAGAACTCTCCTTGGCTGTATTCTTCGTCACCATTTCAATATGATTATATAAGACTTTATGGGTTTCTGTATTGCAAACGTAACCAAGAGCGTAAGCTGCTGCTTGACGAATTTCCTCACTTGACAATATTTCGAGTAATTTCGTTAAAGCTTCGATCATCAATGGCCGTGTTTCATCTGTGTATTTTATGAAAGACACTAATAATACAAGCACTGAAACAACAAATTGAATATGACTCTCCGAAACCGAAATCAATGTTGCGTCACCATCAATATCCAAGAATGGTGTGAAGTTAGATACGATGAGATCACATATGTATTGCATTAAATCAGTAGATATGTTCCATATATTATTACAGAGACTCACATCTCTGGTGATATCGGTTGGGAAATAGGATTGTATGTGGCGAATCGGGGACGAAGTTGATTTTTTCATAGAGTATTCTTTGTTAATCGATGCGTGAACTCTGTACCTTTCTAACCAGAGAATCGTTTCAAGATGGGATTGATTATCGATGGTTATATTTTCAAAAGTTCGTGATAAAGTCAGTTTGGCAAAAGGAGAAGTATATTCATAATAGGCGATTTTCTTCATTAAAGTTAATAGGACATTGATACCCAACGTTGAGCTCGTTCGATGGTCGTCATCGCTGTTGAAACGCAAATACATTTCTGCTCGCTGACGAAAACGATCATTTTCATGGCACAATAGATCATATATGATTGCCGCAGCTTCAACAGACCATAAATTGGATGCAACGAGTAGAAGCGCGGCATGATATGCAAATGGAGAAAGCTCCATCGAATCCTTCCAAGTCATCCAATGCTCGAGCAATCGAGAAGCTTTGAATTCGACCGAATTGAAACGATGCAGTGCATTGCTCAAAGCAATCAGAAGGTCTTTCGAAAGTTTCAATCGATTAGATAGAGTAGACGAAACGATATTCGTAATCATCATAACTTGTGCGCGTGTCAGAATATGATTGTTACATTGAAGTAACATGGTTACGGTCGTCTTATCTGCTGCAGACAAATTCGAATAGGATATAAACGAGTTTTGAGCATTGTCTCCAATCCACGCATGAAATTCGCTGGTTAACTCCAAAAGATACATACTTGGAATAAGCAGAGAATTAGATGCATTTTGATGTGTACCAATATTCAAATATTCTTTCAAAATAGAAGATCTGTTGATTTGTGATACTCTATGGCCGACATAATTATTATTAGTAGCTGTCTTATTTGAATTATGTTGTAGAATTGAAAAAAAGTTAGGATTCGTCTGCAAATATGGCGATAGAGCTTCCAGCACTACCTGTTGATCTCGATGATTAGCATTATTTAACTTGTTGCCAAGGTTTTGAATGCATTTTTCAATTGTTTCTTGATTTGATAGAAGTGGTAAACATCGAATGAAAATGGTTGTATGCAACAATAGAGGCAAGTCTGTTTGAATGTCATTTAGCTGATATTCAATTTCTTTCTGAAGAGATTTGCCGTTGTTGACTGGAATTTGAGCACAATCAGAGGGAGAATAATAAGCTATAGCACATAGTGCATCCAGACGAATAAGTTTGCAATCGATAGACATGGCTCCATGCACGCTATCTTTCATTAAACATAATATATTCTCCTCTTGAGTCCATCTACAAATACGTGCCAAAGAAACGCATGAAGAATAAAGCTTTATATTTCTTCCATCACTCTCAACTAAAGCTGTTTGAAGCCGCTGACGCTCCTGCTCAATACAGCCGTAAATCAAGTTTCTTCGCTCTTTCTCTGGCATATCTTCGCCTTCGACGAAATCGTTAGCCTTATCCATGTATTGACCAGTCTCATAATTCATTGGATATTGTCTAGCGGTTTCGAATCCCTGTAACATGTCGAAATCCTTTGGAAGTAACATCCACAACAGACTACTGCCAAAATTCTCTAATCGATGCATTCGTAGCATGGGTAGCAATGCAACCAAGGCACCCATAAGAGAAAGTCTCTTGCATGATACATTCGACAATTGCAGCAGACATTCTAGTAGGATATGACCAAAACACAGATGTTCTTTGTTGTTGACTTTAGAATCATTTGAATTGGTCAAGATCTGTTCTTGTTCCAATAATCGAAGATAAAGGTTTTGTAGATTTTGGGGAACAAATGTCAAAGGAAATAAGATATCTTCCTTGCGAAAGACTAAATATTCAGGTATGTTATCCATAGCGACAGCCATTCGGTACTGTGTGTAAAAAACTTCATCATTTTCTAATGGCCAGAAGAGCCGTGTGAAATAATGAAGCTGTGAACAAGATGTTCGACCAAAACCCAATTGTATATCTATGGATAAGAGATGAGTAAGACATTCATTCTCTTTTCGAAGAGAATTTGGTAGGTACATCGTTACACGTTTATCAGGTTTGGACTCTCCATCAAGTAAAGTTGATGTTGTAGAAGATCGCAAACAAGCTGTACCACTTCGGAATGAGTCTAACAAATCGAGAAATTGCTGTCTTTTCGATGATTCATTGAAGAGTGGAATTTCATCCACTAAAGTTGCAATATAGTTTGTTGCCTCGTTTTCAACTGAACGATCGTCTTCATCATTGGTAAAATAAAATTGACGTAACGTCATGGAAGTATACTTGAATCTATTTAAACTCATGCACAAGAGAGAACTCGGGATGCTCTTGCTACTTTCATGTACATAGTTGATACCGTATAGGCAAATGACTGCAGTACACACGTCAACTGTATCAGAAGACTCATCATGATTTTCTATCCGTCCCAGAAGAGCTTCAAGGCAACCATGTTTGATACTCATAATAGTTTCATCATGTTGATAATGATCTCGCCTGGTCAGATGTGGTATCAAAAGCGGTGTAACTACCGTTGACTCTCGATAGATATGAAAGGGATCGAACACGACGCTTTGGCCATCTCGCTTCAAACCACCGTACAATGTGACGATTAAAGGAAAGAGAACGGTTGGAATTGAATGGAGTTCAATTTCTTTTCCAAGCAAAAATCCTTTGAAAGTATTAAGATGAACAGGAAACAATCGAGGGTTCGAGAAAGTAATTTTTACGAGAAGTCGATCGATAGCAAATTCATTACTGTCATTATCAAATAATGTCAATGATTGCAGCATTGAACAAGATGATTGATTCATCCAATCGATGTTTTCAAATTCGTGGGGTTTACCTTCCAACAAATGGCAGAGAGCTGACAGAGTTTGAATATTGTGCGGAGGAGATCGGGACAAAAAATGATTGATCCATTGAGAAACAATGTTATTTCGAAGCTTTTTTAAAGCATTTGTAATCTGCTCGAAAAGAAATGGACAAACAACAGACCATTGATATTGACCAGCTGCAATCATCAACTGATCTAAAGCATCACACAGAACATTGTCTGAAGGATAATTAACAAGATCATTCGCAGAAATAATGAAAATGTAAGCACCGAGTGGTAAAAGAGAATTGGATAAATCTTGTTCTTTGACAAATTCACAACAGAAACCATCAAAATGTTCCTTCGACCAGGTAGAACTAATCTTACCTAAAGCAAGCGCAATCGGTACACGAAAACGTGGATTATTCATATGACGACGCAACGATTGAACGATCAATTGAACTTTTCCTTCTGAACATAAACTGTGGGTTGCCATTTTTTCTTGTTTTAATTTATCAACATCGATTAGTTTCAAGCATGTGAAATATTCTTGAAATGTCAAATGAAGAAAACCATAAAGGGATTCACCTCGTGCAGCTAAAATACCAACATCTTCACGAAAAATTCGTACGAATTCCGATGCTTGTTTTTCGATAGCTCGAATGTCTTCTTCCGTGTACACTTTTTTATTTAGAAACACTTTTAGAGATTCAACGCATACTTCTTTCATTTTCTCTTCATGAATGAGGCCTGATGCAGAATTTTGATGGATGTGTGTAGCAATATCACTGAGAATGCGTGTCAATTTCGGAATGTGAATCGTGGTTCCTTTAGTACTCCACAAGCTCAACATTGATCTAACGATTTGTTCGTATAGAAGAATACGTTGCGTAGGTAATGAAGAATCTTCTGCTTGTTGAAAAGATACGGTGCATATGAATGACATCAAACATGAATTTGAAGCCACGTCACGAAGACCAATGTTTTCTAGTTTTTCCAATTCTTCCTTCAATGCTTCACCGTGTCTCTCTCCTTGATTGTCCATCGATAATTCTAGAGTCTCAAGTATTTGTTTGTGAACATTGAAAAACCAATAATCTACGAAATCTTTCATGTGTTCTTCATCCATAGGTCGAATCGTATAGTGAGCAAATTGACCGTCTAATGGAGCAGCATGATAACCTACTATTCGACTGGTTACAATTAATTGATTGCCACCCAATCGAAATGGATCATCGAAAACTCTGTTCATATGTGGATTATCGAAGACGGATATACCTGTTGATGTTTGAACATAATTTTCGACAAAATTCTCAACAAGATTAATTATTTTTGAACGTTGCTCTGATACTGGAATCTCGTCAAGACCATCAAGTATGATTAGAGCTTGACCTTGTTTGATATAATCATTAAGAGCATTTGACAAACAATCAAGAGAAATATGCGATTCATCGACCAATGCCTTACCCATCCATTTGTGTTGTCCGATATAATCGAATAGAGTCAGCGATGACTGACGGTTGACAGCGTCGACAAACTCTCCGATGCGAATCAAAATTGGAATTCGAAGAGGTCCAAAGTCAGTTGAATGCTGTCCGTTAATACGAAGCCTTTGGGCAAGATGAGCAACAAGCCATCGGACAAAACTTGTTTTTCCACTGCCGGGATCACCCAAAACGACAATCCAACGTTTTGTTCGAAGTATATCCTCCTCATTGACATTTTCTTCTCCTTTTCCAACAACATATCGATCTCGCTCAACCATCGATAACATGTAGGGCGCTGACACTAACCGTTGCCAAATGCCTTTCGATGCCTCTTTCCTACTATGTTCATCTAGCGCTACTCGAGTATCAGGTTCCGTAAGCAATCGTCGAGATTCATTTCGTTCGAAGGCCGTAGATTTATCGGGTCTGAGTTGAATGAATGTACGAGTTAGAGGTAGATCATTTGCTCGCCAACTACGTTCTAGCTTATTTCGATCTTCAGGAGAGATCTCATAAAAATGGCAGGCAACTTTTGCAGCAACATTTCCTTCTATACCAGTGAGAGGTACACCTCTGTGTAGTTCAATGCAATAATCAAGGTAAGATTCAATTGTTTTCGCATGTTTTTCATGTAAGAGACGAAGTTGTTTTTCGGTATTTTTCTTTGTCTGTTGTTCGACCTCGGTCAATTTTTGTTTCACTCTATCGTCAAATGATTTTTGAACAAGAAGCTGTTGATCGTGATAAGCATCACTTAGTAAATTCATTTTTGTTTGGTAATCATCTGTCAAATTAGCCTCGTGTTGCACGAGACGCAAGTGCAATCGAAGTACCATAGATTCAAGTTCTCGATAGGCGATGCCTTTGAGTTCATTCTCATGATCGCTGCAACTACGAACAACGGCTTCGATGACTTTCAGTAGTTGTTCTAGATCTGCCTGTGAACGAATGTCACCTTTTCTTATACTTGTTTCCCTTAATCGATGTTGCAGTCGAGATAAACTCCTTGCAATTAATTTCAAATGGTGTTGACATACTTTTACCTGATCTGCTCGTCGAATGAGATCGTCAATGATGGTTAATATTGACATAGAAGATGCCATTGTTTGGTTTCACTATGCGCTAAACCGGTAAAATGTAAACAGAAATAAGAAATCTGAATATATTTTCAGGAGTACAGGATGTTTGGCACTGTTGAGGCTTGAGGGCATGGGTGTGGGTATGGGTGTGTGGGGTGTAGGTGTGTAGGGTGCGGGTGTGTGGGATGCGAGTGTGGGGTGTGGGTACGGGTGTGACCGAGGGGACGATTACTATACACACCTACACCCAGACTCTGTCCCACTATAGAACATGATTTTACAAAAATTAAATGGTTAGATAACTTAACTGGTTCGGAATGTGTATAAAAATGAAACTATTCTTTTAGGATTCGTGATGAAACTGCTCACCCTGATTGTTGTATTCGTCGGTTACTGATCAGCTGTAACAAGTGTCTGATCTGGAAACAAGAAAAGTCATAGAAATAAACTGTACTTACAAATAGAGAACATTAATACATACTCTAGTCGCACGAGTCCTGTATGAAATAAATATTGTGTAAATAAATTCAATAGTATAAATCTACAAGCGAAACAGATTGTAATAGTTGTGAGTGAAGTTTCTTATAACATATGAAAAAGACGGTATAGTTAATTGTTGAAGAGTTTACATTAAAGCGAGGTGAATAATTGTTCGATGATCGTCTCCAATATTTTCATCAACTTTTTCAATGCGAAAATCAGCACCTGGATGAAGTAATACCTCCTTTTCATCAGGATATGTTGATAGATTCGATATATCTCTACCGGGGAAATATTGAGATGAATCGCTCTCGTACCGAATAATAAATAAGGCGGGTACCTTACCCGGAGGGCATTTAGATAAAAAGTCTTCTGCTTTGCTTCTCTCTGAGCTCGTGGAAGCAAATGCGAGCCACGATTTAACTTCGCCTATGGAGTCTTTATACATATTGATATCTTTTGAATCTAATTGCATTCCTCTGTAGACGACAATGTCACCGCAACATGGTTTCTGAGAAGCATACAAATAAGTGCGAACGTAACAACAAAAAGGCCCTAATGTATCGACCTTATTTGTGTCATCTTCTCTCAAAGCCTTATTAATGGACTTGTAAATCCAGGACTCTGTTGTGTAGAGCTGAACACAAAACTGAATTATTTCGTCTCTTGATTGACCTTTTAAATCTCGAATTAGGCTACCTACGATTTCAGCTTCCTCATCCTTTCCGAGCTCTTTTGCCTCATGTTCGAGACCCAATGCAATTTGTTCTAGAGTCTTTTCTTCGTTATATTTGTAGTTTGGATTTTTCTTAATCCATTTTTCGACGAATGGTGACATCCACACTCCCGGATCATTTAAAGATTTCGCCACCGGTTTGTCGGGGTAACTGAATCGATTCACGCGGACATGATCTGAATTCAATTTTCCGTGTTCGATTCGACGAACAGGTCGCTGTCTTGATGTGTCTTGTTTGCTAACCTGAAAAGATTAAATTTTTCAAAAAGCAACGGGAAAAGTCAGGGCTCGTTGTGCATATATTCCTTTAGTGATCGACAAAAGTTACAGTGCTTTATGTTCGAGTGTTCTCATCGATAAAATAGATAAAATCTAAAAAAATATATGTTTGACTGAAAGAATGCTTTATCAAGAGCGACTAGTGTAAAAGTCTCCCAAAATACTCTTGGACAAGGATCTCTGAGAAAGTAACATCTTGGGAACCAAGTTTTCTCGGAATTTCGAAAGTTGAGAGCAATTCGTTTATTTGCTAGAATGAATATGACCTATTAGGAGGCCTCGGAGAGATCAGTACAGCAACTATTGAAGCTTTCAGATAAAGCAAAAAAATGCTTGTAGGGCTTTACGCTCACTGAACACAATTTGGCGAAAGAAAGTCGCAGACAAATCATACACGTACGCCATGTTTTAAGCAGACATATTTGATCCCTCGTAGGAAATTATTTCGCAAGAGTTTGTGACCGAATCTAGAAAAGTGCATGGTTATGAGTAAACCTTCTAAAGATGGAGTGTGGGTGTGGGGTGGATGTGAGTGCGAGTGTGGGTGTGAATGTGTGGGTATGAGTGTGGATGAAGAAGAAGATCCACATCCATATCCACACCTCACACCCACATCCATATTCACACCTCACACCCACATCCATATTCACACCTCACACCCACACCCACGCTCAAACTGCTTCGTCTAAAACCAGACACATCTTATTGAAAATTGTGGTCTTCATATATTCTAAAATGCGCGAATAAAATTTGTTCGCAATGTGTACTTTTTCGCCTTGCATAATGATCATCTTGGCTTCCATGGTCTTTAGTCATTGCTCTCATTGGTAATCTTCTGTTTTTTTGTTTCGATCGAATTATTGTGTTCTTTGACGCTTTTGCCTACCGGGAACTCCTTTGAGGAACATCCGTATTTTTATTATTCGTCTTGAACTAACTGTTTGAAAATTAAGCGGACCTTGTTGGTTTAAATTAGAGACCGAAAACGAGTCGAGTAATCGAAATATCGACTCAACTTGAAGGATTCAACTTTTCCAATGATTCTGAATAGCTTTTAAAGTCGTTTCTTAGTAGTAGTTGTGCGACCTTTTGCTTAGTCAATACAACAAAGAAATGGAGAAATATGATGAACAATTGTTGGTTTTCCTTTAATATCTCAATATCTACATTCACATTTCTGAATCTCCCCCAGCTTTCCATTGTAAATAATTCTTGATCTTATTATCTCCATGCATGGTTCTAACACCACCTAAAAGCTAGCTTTCTTTCTCACATCACTGTCAATATCATTTTCTAGACAGCTACTCGTAAAAACTAGGTCCTACATCAATATCCAAATAGTGCGCAAATGAAACGAGGAAATGGCAAAAGCGTTTTTTTTTCACATGAAAAGTTACACTTTTTAATAATTTTTACTCAGTTTTGGTTATAAACAATCGATTTTCGAAAGATATGCATAGATCATATGTATGTGATGCAATAGACTTACGTGAACCGAAAAATTCATCATGTTCAACAAAACTCATTGGAATGAATCGAAACTGAATACAAACGTTTTGAAAATTAAAATCTTTATGCAGAAAGATCGACTTTTCCTGATTTTATTGTGCATTAACGACTCGAGTCGAATAGAATCTAACTTTTTTTGACTTGTTTTAGTCACTGGCTTCAAGGTAGCTGTAAATATAATCGAAGGGTTCTACAAAAAATCCGACGTAATTCTAGAAACGCGTGGTATTTTCCGGACAGAAATTCAACGGTTCTCCTTATTTTGAAAGAAGAAAAATGTAATGAGACTTCGATTACCTGAACCATTCTGTCTGGTGACAGTTCAATGTAATATTTTCCGATGGATACTTTTGGCTTCTTTTTCTGATATGCTTGCTCGATCCGGAGATTTAGAAGGTCAGAATAATATTCCCACTGAGCATCAGCTTTTTTCGAAGACCATGGATTGGCACTATTGTTAAATACCCAGTGTACTGTGTTCATCGCATTCACTCACCGATTCAAAATTTTCTAAAAGAAATACAAAAAGTGACTGGTTTCCAGTACGATCCAGAATTCGCGTGCTGATATGTTGGTACTGGTCGTAAGTGTTCATATCCTTTTTCGTCAGTATTTCAATACTGAATAAGTAAAAGAAAATTAGTTCACTACTGTACTTAGTGTTCAACAGTATTGGAAAATTCGTTTGTTAGTTTTTTCAGTACTAATTGTTAGTTTTCTAAAAATATTAATGCCAGTATCACGTGTAGGTGCGGGTATGGGGTGTAAATGACGAGAAGACCCACACTCACACCCACAACAAAATGCAATTGTCACGAGAAAAATTCCGACCAAATTTTCTCGACGAAGATCCTCGTGTTTCGCCATTCCATCGACTCCCATTCGAGTGTGGGTGGGTATG